AAAATAGGGGCGAGACCCTTTTGGGGTAGGGGCGTGTTTGTTTTGGTGATTTCAAATGTCAACATTGGCTACCAGAAATCACTTACTCTGCCTTTAAGTGCCTGCGATGCAGTGTTGCCAGATATTGATACTAAAACAAACTAAATAAATAAAAATAAACCTAAATTATTTCCAATCTTTTGCAAATAAGATAAGATAAAGATATCGCTGACTCTAAACTGAAACCTCCTACTTTATTAACTTTCTAAAGTGTTAAATTAAGTGGAAAACACAAGTCCAAAAACGCTTATAATAGCTGGATCTGGCAACACGGAGGCTGCGCCTGCACCTTTACTCACTGCTCTCTCAAGCCTCTCCACCAGCGTCTCGCAGCGATCATTTTCATAACAGGCATTCTTGCAAACTGTCTAAACTGAATTATACATGTCATGCAGGCATTCATATGAGGAGTTTAACAGCAAATTAGTCATTCAAAGAACAAATTTTATTTTTGAACATGAAAAATTTACAGAGGTCTGGACCTCAGTGGCCTCATAGCTGGTTTCGGGCCTGGTTTAGAAGTTTTATTGTTTCGTTTGAAATCACCATCAAGGAGATCAGTGTTTTCTTTTGTTGGGCTCTTGACCCTTTACATTTTCATATTAGTATTTTCTCTGACTGTTGAGACTATGTGTTTATAAAACACCCAGTCTCAACAATCAGAGAACAGAAAACTTTTTTTTTTTTGAGTGTATGACTCCTGGACACAGTAACTTGATTCCAAGACTGTTACAATTCATTCTAACCATTTCCACAAAACCTCATATATGTTAGCCAGCTACTTTACCTTGGTGACTTGTAAATCAGCAAAATTTGTACCAATGTTTGACAAAAATCTAAATCTTTACATTTGTAAAAAAAATATATATTTAAAGCATGCCAGTTAACAGAGGCAAAAAAACTTAAATAATTCCAATTTTACTAGTAATGTATAATTTGGGCACATCTTATGCTAAACCCACTTTCAGTTTTATAAAAATATATAAAACCCAGTAATGCATGTGTATAAAATGAAATAATTAGGTAAATACACTATAAAATACACAAACACAATATTTTAGAAATACAGAAGAGCCTAGTATAGGTCATTTTAGTTGGATCTGAATCTGGAAAACAGGTTCTGCAAAAATAATCACGATTCAAGTACCATTTCTCTCCAGAAGGTGGTGATAGTTAGCTAAAAAGGGACAGTTCTTGAAGGTGAATTGTGTAATTTTAGAATTCCAGTCTGTGGCCCACATGTACACCACTTCCTGAACCAATGGTCTGAGTTGGAGTGGGACTACTGGTTGGCACTACATCATTTTTGCTATTTTGTTTAACACTACATCTTTAATAGATGGCATGTGGGAAAAAAATCACCATGTGAAGATTTTCCATTTTAAACCAAAAAAAAAAGAGAGAGAGAAAAACAACCAACCAAGCAAACAAACCAAAGACAGTAGTTTATTTTCTGTTTCTATTCTCTCTCTCTCTCTCTCTTTTTAATGCTGACTGTGGGCTTTGGTAATTGTAAAATGCTTTGTTTTATTTAATATTGTGAAAATTATTCATAAATAATGCTTTTTTAACTAAAAAAATGAGGTGCCTACTCTCAGATAAATGAGTCCTACGATTAATCAGATGCAAATATAAATACAAAACCAGTCCTAAATGAAAGAAAAGAAGTTGACTAATAGATTGAATCCAATATTTGGTGATAATATAGCATAATGAGTGATATATAAGCAATTTTTTGAGGCCGGGTCATTTTTGCCCAGGAACACCACAAGTGTTATAAGGTTTTGAACACAACACAAGGGTTAATGTATTTGGCCTACAGCTCATGGGTCTGCAGCTTCTCACCTCACACCGGTGCGCTCCACATCCTCTATAGTATCTGGCAGGGGCTTATGGGTCGTCTCAGGCAGAAACATAGTGAGGGCAGCACCTATGAGCGGGCACAGGCCGAATACCACCATGGGGGCATGACGGCTGATGTTTCTCAAGAGATAGATGATGGGTGCAATCACTCCACCTGCCCGTGCGCACATCGAACCCATACCTATCCCATTTTGTCTGAGAAAGAGAAATATATGTTTCTGTATCGCACATCTCAACTGAACACTGGGAAGTGTTTGAATAAGGAGAAGTGTAATGTAACACTGTGTCCTAACCAGGCCTGATGCAACACAATTACAGTAGTAATAAAATAAGTAATTTCTCTGTCCACACTGTAAGTGAAAATGCTGTGCAATAGAGTAAACTAAACGTCATTCATGACATATTACACAGTTATTTGTAATTTGATAGTGGTGGGGCAGTAGTTATGGATGAGCACTACCAATTGAACCACAGTAGAGGCAACCAATGAAATAAGAGTCACTGTAATTGGGTTTGTGTGTTACAACATAAATTACAAACTTGTTAGCAGTGCTCCATTCAGAACTATGATAAGTGTCACGAATCCTGTCCATGGACTTCCGTTCAATCACCACCAGAGGTCACCCTTCCATTACATTGACTCTCGCACTACACAAACTGTTGCATGTCATCCCGGACTACATATCCCATCATCCATTGCACTGATTGCACACAGCACTGATTGCACACAGCTGTAACCAATCACACATTCACTATATAACACTCACTCAGATCCCTTTCAGGCTGCCGAGTATTGTATGCGCATATCGCTAGTTGTGATAGCTACGTTACGGAGCCTGCTTTAAGTTTCTTAGTCTTGCCTTGTCTGATTTCCCCGTCTTCTGATCATTGCCTGTGTACTTTGGATTACCTCTCTCGTCTTGCCCTGTTTGGATACTGTTTGCCCCTGCCTGGACCTTTGCTTTGTACCTGGATTATCTCTCTAGTCTCGCCCTGTTGGATTACGTTCATCGTCGACTGACCCTCGCTTGTTTACCGGACTACCCTTGCCTTGTCTTCTACATACCAGTTTGCCTATGTCTGACCTATGCCTGTTTATGACCACGTCTTAATAAAAGCTTTGCACATGGATCCGCACGTCTCATGTTCTGGTGACTTCGTAACAATAAGCTTCATTGTCATTAAATCTGAAATCATAGAAATCTAAAATTGTAGTCATAAACTGCTTAATTCTGTGTTGTTGAGCAGTTAGTGTGCTGTGCCAATTGCAACAAGCCAAACAGACTTTTTTTCCCCCTCAAACAATGGGTGAGTAATTCACTCTAGTAACATTAATATAGGTGTCAATATAAATAAGTTTCTAATGTAAGTTGTGTGAAACAGTCAAGACAAGTATTTTTTTAAAGTAAAGACAAAATAGTATTTTTTAAAGGCATCACATTGTTAGCATAGCAAAATATTAACACTAAACTCTGTTGGAATAAATTTAATGTGTTAGTGAAATCTCTTGTGCGTTTCCCTTTAGCAGCACTGCTTGTTTTATTATGATGCACACGAGTGGCTGCACATATAGAAAGCTCAAAAACACAGATTAAACCAGCCTGTGGAGTCTAGGAGGGTTTGCTGCTTGTCTAGTAGGTCTCCTAACCTGCGGACAAGCTAGTGTTTCTCTTAAATTTCATCCAATAATAAAAATGAAGAAAGAAAGTGATACAGCTTTGAGTATAAAGTTATCACACTTTATGAAACCTTGCCCTTGCTTACCTGATGACTGTTGGGAAGACCTCTGCTGAGTAAATGTACACAATGGACAGCGATGCTGTGATGCCAAACTTGCCCACCATGGCAAGTACAGTGCGAAAAACAGACAGATCTATAAAGACAGAAATTCTGAATGAATGAGGTTTGTTATGACAGAAAGAGTGAGTCTCTGGTTTTGTTTCCCAATTGCCTGGAGAGAGGGTGGCACACACCAATCTTGCCATCACTTTTTTGTTTTCAAATTAGTGACTTATATAAACAGTTTGTGTAAGTCAAGGTTTTTAAATGTGGCTCTGGATTCTCCAGGCTTCTGCCCCATCAACAGAAGTAAACAATGGCATAAACACTCAGGAGCTATGACATCATTACATGAAATGGAGCCTGTAGTAAGTTTATTGGATGGAATTATTATTATGTATCAAGTAAAACCAATGGTACACTTTTACATTACATGCCAACATCTTTGGGGTTTCTGTATGTTTCCTTTCTGTTTCAAAAACTGTGAATTTCTTGATAGAGTATCTTAAAGTACCTAGTAAAACATGTCAAAGTCCCTCTAAGTCATGTCACTCTTCGGCCATCTTTGAAATGCCTCTCGGGCATGCAAGTGCAGCTCCTATCTCTTTGAATGGGGAAACATCAAATCCACCAAAACTGTTTGCCAAGCTTATGATTAAATTTCATATTTGAAATCACCAATGAAATCTGACAACATAAATGTCTCATAAATGTTGTTTCTTATGCTCTAATAGCGTTAAAAAAAGCTTATTTTTCAGGCTAGACCAGCAAATGCGCATGCGCAGTACTAAGCCTGAATGCTGCAGAGTCCTCCAGAACGCTGACTGTTTCTATAGCAACCAGGACTTCTAACGGCAGCTGCAGTGATGCAATAACTTTACCGAATAGCAATTCGCTCTTTTACTCAGAAGGCAGGGCTTCCTTCAATAGAGCAGCTATATTGAGCGTTGCATTTTTCCCCCATTCAAAACTATACAAGTGACACGTCTTGGGTATTCTACAGTCTTTGAATATGTTGATGCACTTCTTTCATTCTACTTTTCCACCAACAGTGTGCTGAAGCTGGTGGCCAATCTACTTCTACAGAAAAGGTGATTCTTGGCTGGGGAAAAAAAAGCTCTGCATTGTTCTCTAAAACTTGCTGAACTCAAACTAGGGAACACTAACGTCAAAGGCATAATGTCTGTAACTAAATTTTTCAGAAGAATACCAACTTGGTAAGATTGAAACAACTAACTCAAAATTAGATCGATTATAATCAGCTGCCCTAATCTACTCTGCTACTCTACCTACTCTAGTTAAATAAAAGTTTGGGTTTTTCACCTACCATCTGGAATGAATATGGTAAGAAGACAGGCCAGGCCGCCTACTGCCAAGAATGCTAACTGGGATATCCTGCGTGAGCGGTTTAGGGTGAAGAGAGTAATGGTACGTGCTGGCATTTCCACCAAGCCAAAGATCATCTGTGTCAGGTAGATATTCATTCCAAAGTCTGAAATATTGAGTGACAGCCCATAGTACACCAGGACATTCACAAACCTGTAACAAAATCAAATGTAATTTTTGTGTAATATTTACACAATTTACAGTAATATATTCAGTATTTCTGAGAGCTCTGGTTTCAAGTATAATTCGTTTGAAGTAATGGTGCTTCATATAACATTATCTAGAGAAATAAGTGTTAATGATAAATCCACTGTGACGTCAATTCTGGCTACTGTATACAGGCCACCAGGGCACCATTCAGACTTTATCAAAGAATTTGCTGATTTTCTGAGTTAGTGATGGCTGCAGATAAAGTCTTAATTGTTGGTCATTTTAATATTCATTTTGACAATGAAAAAGATGCATTGGGATCAGCATTTACATTCTGAATTCTATTTGGGTCAGACAACACATGTCAGAACCTACTCATTGTCGTAATCATACTTTAGATTTAATACTGTCACATGGAATTGATGTTAATGGCGTTTAAATTCTGTAGCAGAGTGATGATATCTTTTTTTATTCAACACAGTGGCCAAATTAACGAAAGATAAAACATCAACAGGCGCAGACATTTCCCAACAGAACAGCAGTAATGACTTTATGAACTTCTTTACTTCCAAGATCGATACTATTAGAGATAAAATTCTAACCATGCAGCCTTCAGCCACAGTATCAAATCAGATGCACTATAGATCCCCTGAGGAACAATTCCACTCATTCTCTGCTGACAGGAAGAATTGTATAAACTTGTCAAATCATCAAAACCAACAACATCTATGTTAGACCCTATTCCATCTAAGCTACTAAAAGAGGTGTTTCCAGAAGTCATAGATCCTCGTCTGAATATTATTAATTCATCAATGTCTTTAGGATATGTCCCAAAATCCTTCAAACTGGCTGTTATTACGGCTCTCATAAAAAAAATCACAACTTGATCTTAGAGAATTAGTTAATTACAGGCTGATCTGAAATCTCCCTTTTCTGTCAAAAATACTAGAAAATACAGTATCCTCTCAGCTATGTTCCTTCTCAGAGAGAAATGGTATCTGAGGATTTCCAGTCAGGATTTAGAGCATATCATAGTACTGAGACTACTCTCATCAGAGTTAAAAATGACCTGCTCTTATCATCCGATCGTGGTTGTATTTCTCTATTAGTGCTACTGGATTTAAGTGCTGCTATCGACCACAACATTCTTTTCAGTAGACTACAAAATTATGTTGGCATTAGTGAAATAGCATTGGCATGGTTCAAATCTTACTTATCTGACGGTCATCAATTCGTAGCAGTGAATGAAGAGGTATCATATCGATCATAATACAGTATGGAGTACCACACGGCTCAGTACTAGGACAGCTGCTTTTCACACTTTACATGTTACCCTTGGGAGATATCATCAGAAAACATGGTGTTAGCTTTTACTGTTATGCTGATGATACTCAGCTCTATATTTCTTAGCTACCCGATGAAACATTTGCAAAACTAACGGAATGCATAGTTGATATAAAAAAAAACTGGATGACTAGTAATTTCCTCCTGCTAAATTCTGAAAAAAACAGAGGTGTTAATTATTGGACCAAAAACCTCATGTAATAACCTACACAAGTAATAACCATTGTCTAACACTTGATAGCTGCTCTGTCAATTCCCCGACATCAGTTAGGTGTGCTATTTGATACCAATCTTTCCTTTGAAAATCATGTTTCTAGCATTTGTTTAACCGCATTTTTCAATCTTCAAATATATCTAAATTACGACCTATGCTCTCAATGTCAAATGTAGAAATGTTAATTCATGCTTTCATGACCTCAAGATTAGATTATTGTAATACTTTATTGGGCGGTTGCTCTGCACTTAATAAACATACTCCAGCTGGTCTAAAATGCAGCAGATAGAGTTCTTACTAGAACCAGGAAGTACGGACATATTAGCCAGGTTCTGTCAACTCTGCACTGGCTTCCTATGAACATCGTATACATTTTTAAATCTTGCTAATTACATATAAAGCCCTGAATGGTTTAGCTCCTCAGTACTTGAGCAAGCTCATTTCGCATAATAGTTCTTCATGTCCGCTGCGATCTCAAAACTCTGGCCATTTGATAATACCTAGAATATCAAAATCAACTGCGGGCGGCAGATCCTTTTCCTATTTAGCACCCAAACCCTGTTTCTAGTATTTGTAAAACTGCATTTTTCCATCTTGAAAATATATCTAAATTACGACCTATTCTCTCAATGTCAAATGCAGAAATTTTAATTCATGCGTTCATGACCTCAAGATTAGATTATTGTAATACTTTATTGGGCGGTTGCTCTGCACTTAATAAACATACTCCAGCTGGTCTAAAATGCAGCAGATAGAGTTCTTACTAGAACCAGGAAGTACGGACATATTAGCCAGGTTCTGTCAACTCTGCACTGGCTTCCTATGAACATCGTATACATTTTTAAATCTTGCTAATTACATATAAAGCCCTGAATGGTTTAGCTCCTCAGTACTTGAGCAAGCTCATTTCGCATAATAGTTCTTCATGTCCGCTGCGATCTCAAAACTCTGGCCATTTGATAATACCTAGAATATCAAAATCAACTGCGGGCGGCAGATCCTTTTCCTATTTAGCACCCAAACCCTGGAACAATCTACCTACCGTTGTCTGGGAGGCAGACACACACAAGAATTGTTAGGCTGCATTAATAAGGTCAACCGGAACCAGGAACACTTAACATAACACCGATGTACTCGTAAGAAGAATGGCATCTAATGGCAGACTAATATTAGCCTGTTTCATTCTTATTCCGAGGTCACCGTAGCCACCCAGATGCAGTCCGTTTCCAGATCAGATGGTGGATCAGCACCTAGAGATGACCTCTACAGCCCTGAATGTCAGCGGAGACCATGTCAACTAGATGCACCCCAAAGACAGATCCTCTGTGCAGACCTCGTCAACTAAGCGGCCTTGAGGACAAGACCACAGGAACCAGACAAGTCCTCTGCACAATCTGATCTGTGTTGCAGCCTGGAATTAAACCAGGCCATGCTGGTTTCATCTGGCCAGAGGAGAACTGGTCCCCCCAACTGAGCCTGCATGGTTTCTTCCAAGCTTTTTTTCTCCATTTCTGTCACCGATGGAGTTTTGCTTCCTTCCCACTGTCGCCTTTGGCTTGCTTAGTTGGGGACGCTTGACTGATTGCACAGACACTATTGGAAGAGAGCTGAACTGGATGATGACATCACTGAATCATCTATGAACTGACTTTAACTGAAAAATTGACTGTTTGTTATTGTCCTCTTGCATTATTGACAAACTGTTTTCCTGTTTAACACTGTAAAGCTGCTTTGACACAATCTGTTTTGTATAAAGCACTATATAAATAAAGGTGACTTGACTTGTGAAGCTTAGAACTCTACAAGTTAAAAAAATATATAACATGAATAATATGAATATGGGAATGCCCCAACCTCAGAACTATAGCAAAAGTTATTATGAAACATAAAAAGGAAACATGCAAAACTTAAGGGAAATGAGAGCCACAGCAAGAAATGCTGGAAAATATAACTGAAATGGATTATAACCAAAAACCCACCCTCAAAAAGCCCCAAAATTTCTTCTACAGCTTTTGTGAACAAAAATGACTATAGTGTTTTGATATGATGGTCGCTCTACTGAAATTTGTGATTTATTTATTTAGAGGTAGTCAAGTCAAGTCAAGTCACCTTTATTTATATAGCGCTTTTAACAATACAGATTGTGTCAAAGCAACTGTACAGCATTAATTAGGAAAATAGTGTGTCAATAATGCAAAATGACAATAGTAAACACTCATTTTTCAGTTAAAGGCAGTTAATCATTGAATTCAGTGATGTCATCATCAGTTCAGTTTAAATAGTATCTTTGCAATCATTTGCAATCAAGTCAACGATATCGCTGGAAATGAAGTGTCCCCAACTAAGCAAGCCAGAGGCGACAGCGGCAAGGAACCAAAACTCCATCGGTGACAGAATGGAGAAAAAACCTTGGGAGAAACCAAGCTCAGTCGGGGGGCCAGTTCTCCTCTGACCAGACAAAACCAGCAGTTCAATTCCAGGCTGCAGCAAATTCACATTGTGCAGAGGACTCAACTGGCTCCTGTGGTCTTGTCCCGGTGGCCGTCTGAGACAAGGTCTTTACTGGGGATCTGTATCTGGGGCTCATCTAGTTGTCCTGGTCTCTGCTGACTTTCAGGGCTGTAGAGGTCCTCTCTAGGTGCTGATCCACCATCTGAAGGTAGTCATGTAACTGGACCTTTTACCTCTGAGAAAAACAAACTAAACTAAACTAAACTAAAAAAGTCTTCAGACTGAGAGTTTCAGAGTCATCCCTTCATAAAGTTCATAAATCGCAAATTCATAACATGATTTGCAGGTCTAGTGAAGACAAGATGTTATTGATAGCTCTCTTAATTGCTTACTTTCGCTTCTTACACATCACTCCTTTTCTCATTAATGTAACTACAAATTCATCAAAATTTTCTTCTTTTTTCATTTTTAAACTGATAATTCTAGACCTGAATTTTGAACAATGGTTCATAAAGTCCAACTGTTATATCGTTCATTTTGAATTCAAGTTGGGTTATTTGCATGTTAACTGTGCATTTTTACCACAAGTAGAAGAGAATGAGGGACTGTTTCCTCATTCTGGGTGTTCGGACCAAATCTATGACAGTGTACTTCCTCAGGTCTTGCAGTTTCTCTGAGATTTTAGAGCTCTGTAAAACAAGAGAAACACATTTCAAGTATTCTTAGTACAAGTTGGAGATTGAGACTAATTTGAATATTTATTTCTGAAGAGAGCTGTAACTCAGTTACATCCCAGATAAAATGCAAATACAATTGCATAGCCCTACTGGAAAATTTAGTTCGATGTGGTAACTGTTTTACAACATGTAAAACTGCAAATCTTGCAACATGTTTCGTGTTGGTCCAAGATGATAAATATAAACTGGTCCAAAAGGCTTTGGGTGCTGACTAGCTAAACTACCTGATCAAATGGTGGTCAACATTTTAAACCAGCTAACTGACCAGCTAGTAAAACACAGTTACTAACTTAATGTGTAAGTTCACCCAAAAGTGAAAATTCTCTGAATAGTCATGTTGTTCCAAACCTGTATAACTTTTTTCCATGGGGCACAAGTACTCAATGTACTCATTAATCTTCTGTTCAATTACAATGAACGTGGACTTTCACAAAATGCAAAAAGGACACAAATGCACTATTATAGTTTCAAATAAGTAGTCATTGGTTCACTATATTCCTACTCGTCATTCAAATTCAAATGCGCCCTTCCGGACTTCTCCAGTCAAAGTACATTATATTTGACTCAAGCTAGCATTCAGATCTGCCTTCATCCAATCAACAACTCAACTCAAACTTTATTTCTAAAACACTTGCAACACCACAATGTGGAACCAAAGTGCTGTACAGGAAGAATAAATAATAGAATAAAAACAGACATAAACTAAGGCATACCACACAACAAACAACAACTTACAAAGCATTTTCAAAAGCTAAAAACAGATGAGTTTTCAGCGCACTTAATAAAGCCAATCACCTTTGCATTTTAAGTGAGATCGAGGAACCACAAGGATTAACTGATCAATTGAACGCAGAGACCTATTAGATTGATGCAGACTGATTAAATCAGAAACATACTCTAGTGCAAAGCCATGTAAAGCTTTGAAGACATAAAGCAGCACTTTGTAATAACCTTTTCAATAATCTGTTTCGCTCAGATACACAATACAAAAGAAAAGATCTGTTGCTACTTGTTACATCACAACTGCACTTTTTGGAAGTTTCACAACCAACTCGGGTCATGGAGTACCCTACTAATCAGCTCATGAGGTCATTTAGCCGTGATAAATAAGGGAGATCCAAGCTGTACAGTGCTGGGAGGCTTCAAGAATTGTTTGAAAATCTCAGGTATATATGATGCTTTTGTGTTGTTTTTTTCTGTGCTCCACAGAAGAAAGACTGTCATATGGGTTTGAAAATGACAAGAAGATGATGAACGATAATACGTTTTTGGATGAACTATCCCTTTAAAAAATTTTCAGCTGGGTTTCACAGATAAATCTAACCCCATGTGTCTTTGCCAGTGGACAGTGCCTGAAGCCCAGGAGGAGTGACGTGACAGACGCTATAATTCCTCTTTGAAAACAAGTTTTATACAAATTCTGGTTTGTTCACTTTACATGTTAGTAAAACGGACTCTACCTATCTGCGCAGTTCTTGGCCGGAATAAGGACCATATTTTATGCTTATAGTTGAAAGTCTGACTATGTGAGGCTAAGGGTATGCCATACCTGACAAACCTCAATGTCACCGTCTACCAGAGATTTGCCATTAATAAGTGCTGCCTTACGAATCAGATCCAGCGCCTCTTCATGCTTCTTATTGGCCATTAACCAACGAGCAGACTTAGGAAGCACCCTGAGAATGCACAAACAAAAACATACATAAATAACATGAATACAGGCAAGAATATAGGCTACGGTGGACTCAAAAGTACCTGGACCATTTTGTGGTCTTTTTGTGTTTTCAGCTCACGTGCAACTCACCAGATGTAGAACAGGAAGAGGAAGCCTGGGGCAGATATGGCCAACTGCAGCTTACGCCAGTCTCGGATGAGGTAGGCCACCCCTGCAAGCAGAATGTAGCCAAAACCAAAGAAGTAGTCTGTGATGACACCTGCCAACATGCGCTTTTTGGGGCCCGTCCACTCAGTGCCTGCCGAATGAAATGACAAAATGCACACATTAGACAATAAACCAAAAAGAATTTGTAAGTATTAGGTCTAGTCTCAGACTTAACATTATCACAGACTCTGTTGACTCTCTATCTAACCACAGTACAATTTGAAAGAATATATATTCTTCTTCTTATTAAAATTCTCTTACTACTAAAATTAATGTTCGATACAATTTCTTTTTGACAGACCATTTTCTCTAGTTCCAGAAAGCTTGACAAATCATAAGTTAATGCTGGAATCCTTAGTGGATCTCTTACTTACCCAACACGAATGCATTCATGATCACTGCGGAAATCGTCATGCCCACCACGAAGCGAAGCAGGACGTATATGTAGAAATTTGGGGCGAAAGCAACCCCCACTCCAAAGATGGCCTGTGCTGCTAAACCAATCAATATGATCATTCTGCGGCCATACCCGAAGCAGCATCAAACCGTAAGTCATTTCAGAGATACACTACTGTGTGATTAAGCTCAGTTAGTAATTTGTTATCTAGAAAAGAGGTTTGCATGGGTCTACTCTTGTGAAAAACAATTATTGATTGTGCACTTGTAGTGTACTTCAGATCTTAAAAAAAAAATAAAAATGTATATATGTAAGAGATCTATAAAATAATTACTGTATATTACAATTATTGATTGTGCACTTGTAGTGCACTTCAGATCTTAAAAAAAAAATAAAAATGTATATATGTAAGAGATCTATAAAATAATTACTGTATATTTAAAAAAAAAATGCATCTTGACTGATCTTAACAAATATGTAATTAAAGATATATTTCACTACATGGCATTCAAGTTTCAGTGGAATGATGATGTTAAATTATATTTTAAAGACAATATAATTATGAAATTATATATAATATTATATTATATATAATAAAATTATATATGATATATAATTATGAAATTATATATAAAAATGTATACTTAAGTCCAACTTAAGTTGGACTCTTTGGTAAGTCCAACGTAAGTAGGTCAAAAAAGAACACTAACTAATTGCTTCACACTGTAGTAATTTTTTCTTTTTTTATTATTTCCATAAAAAGTAATCTTTTTCAGAAGGGTTTTACTGGACTGGTCTGCTCTAAAATGGTTGCTAACAATGGTGCTAGTAAGACAAAAGTCATGAGTTTGATTCCCAGGTAATGACTGGACTGATCTAATCAATACCTCCTGGATGCAATGTTGCTTTAAGTAAAATAGCCTGCCACATGTAAAAATGCAAACAGCAACATCTTAAATCTTATCATCTTCAAAGGCCATGCATCCAATCAAACTCCCTAATATTTGAGAGGGTGCTCGATGCAGACTGCAACATACTGATGTAGAGGATATTCACGGCAGACTGGATGTTGTTAATGTGCACATGCACAAATGTGCCTTGTGCTACAAGGAGTACTTGTAAGATTTTGACATAAAATCATATGACCCAGAGTATATTAAGATATGTTTACTTGCATTGAGGATATAAGCATGATTTGTGCCAACCACAATACTGTTTGTGTGGTGAATTGTTGGCTGCCAAGAGCACGAAACCATTAAAGTTCAATTTTAAGCAATAAACAATTTTAGTACTATATTGGATCCAATGTATAATCTGGGTCCTGAAGCTAAGCCTGTTAAGAACCACATACAGTAGATGGTGCACAGTCTCATGTAAACATCTGAAGTCTTTCCAGTATTTTAGAGCATTCCAGCCCACATTTTCCCTTCAGTTCATTCAGCAGTTAATTTTTTCATACCACAGTACTGCTATTGTCTGTTCAACTCTGAAAAGTGAACATGTGCTGCTTATTAGATCCGCTCTCTAAAACCACTACATTTCCAATACTGCAGAAACCTTCTGATTTGGTAATAGCACAAGACATTACTAGTCAAATCACCACTTCTCCCTATAAATATCAGTAAATAAAGCCAGGACAACTTAAATAGAAGAAGAACAGAAGCCTTCCCAGCTGTCTCAAAAGTATGAGTGTATGAACTGAATTCACATAGACAGAGTCACATTTGTCAGCTTGCTGAACGGCTGTGTGCAGAGTTTATTTCCGAGACCTGTTGATGTAAAATATCCAAAACTTCCTGGCATTTATGCTCTTGTCTAGGCACGCACAGTTCACAAATCATCTTATCAGAATGGTTCCTAACCTGATATCAATACTTGAATTTCAGATTCCAGTTTTTCCACTAGAGTGGAAAAGGTTTTGGATGTCTGAGAGAGATTGTATGCATTTAAAGTTACCTTGAGATTCTTCTACTTACTTATCAGCAAGGGCACCAAACAGAACTGCTCCAACCAGGAGCCCAAACATATAGATAGAAGATCCAATGTTGTTCAAAGTGGCATTTTCACACACAAGATCCCACTGTAAAATAAGATCACAAGGTAAAAATAATATAAATCAGTGTTATACATCATAACCAGGTCATTCAAGGTAGTTTGTGGAACATTATGGCTGGTTGTTGTCAATCCTAACCAGCTTGGTCAAGATGGCCTATATCTCCAAAAACAGTACACCAGCTGGTACAGTAGCCTGCCGATCATCCATCTAGACCAGGGGTGTCCTAACTTGTTCCTGGAGGGCCACTGTCCTGCAGAGTTTTTACATATATAAATGAGCTATTACTGGAAACTGGCTTTTTTCAGCAGGGATTTAAGGAGCCCACTGTCAGAAAAAAAGTGCAAACATTGTTGCAGTACATCTTTTAAAGGGACATCTTTGTACCTTATCTACCCCTAAAGTGTTGTATATGTACCCTTAAGGTACTACTATTTAGGGATAAATAAGGTATAAAAACTTCCCTTTGAAAGTACTACCATAGTGACAACCCGTTTTCGACAACCCGAGTGTACATAATCATTTCAGTATCACATTTTAGAGTTAACTCTCACCACAAAAATACCTATGGTAGGAAGTAGTTTGTTTCAAAATCTCTATCCTAGGGGTCTATATACCTGGACTATATACCCCCATCCCCCCCCTCCCTTATCACCACACTTTCTTCCACCTCAGCCCAACAGCTGGACAACAGAGAGCAGTGTCAGATAGTCAACCCCCGATGTGGAGCTGGGCAAAGATCCAGCGTTTTAAAATCAAAACAGGTTCTGCCTGGATGTCCTGCTGTGAGCAACCCATCTCTCTGGTCACATGTCGCAAAAGAAATGCAGCCGTCCTGCAGCCCTGTGAGCTATGCCTCTTTAATGAAGCCGTCTGAGATGCCTTCACCACGGGAGGCCAGAAATTCTCAATGCAGTCAGCACCCAAAACATCTAAACCACAAGACATGACTGGCTCCGATAGCACCAGAAAGACGTGGTAAGAAAGAGCCACGCTCTGACTTGTTACATCACAAAACTACCACATCCTGTCATACAACATGCAATGTTTTGAGATTAGCACTCACCTCTGTGACAACAGTGCTGAGAAAGACTTCCTTGCTGAATTCCCATCCTCCCGTGCAGCCGTTTGAGGTGGACGAGTGCTCAGTAATTGGTAGACTGTGATTAAGCTGGGACAGAGGGCCATCCTGAAAGGACGTGCAGGACTCCCCAGGAGCAATGCTGAAGTTGAAGCCCAACCCGGTGCCACCACTGTCGCCCGCTGGCCAGGCGGATCTGCACAGGTGAGGGGGTACAGCCCCAGTGAAGACAGACACCAACATGTGGAAGGCCAAGAAGATCTGTGGCAGGCAGATCCATACATAAAGGGTCTTCTGGAAGCGTCCAAACCCTCCAATCCGGTCCAGGACTTCGTCAAAATTCATCCTGCCTTTCCTTGAATGTCACTTCATGAAAACTTACACAGTGTCTATTCAGGTGATGATGACTGGGCCCACGAGTCTTAGGACACAACAGAAGTTGGTGTGTAAGTTTACATGCGCGTAATGCTCTAGATGACGTCAGGTCAGTATTATGTGATATTATCAATGCTATGAAATGAAGGTCTGGACACGGCTAGGAGGGACTGGTGTAGGTCTCCTCACACCTGTAGCAGAGAGAGAGGGAGGGAGGGAGAAGAAGAGACGGAGAGTGCTGCAGCGGAGTTCTGTCTGTTTGGTTTGTTTGAGGGAAATATAAGGAGGGGAGGGCTGGGAGTGACCCAGATATCTGAAATGAGCCAGTAAGCATGAGGGGGAGGGACTATTGAGTGAAGGGGCGGAGAGTATCTATGACAGGAGGGAAGAATTACTTTCACACTCTCTATCTACATTACAAACTCCAATACACTGTTTCGTTCCTCGTCTTACCAGCCTCCTACTGCACTTTTTTCTTCCTCTTTATTTTCATTTCATTCACAGACTCTATGTCTGTGGGTGAGAGCAGAGGAAGTGTAAGAGAAAGTAAAGGAGGTTTGATTTTTGCATTGCATTGTCATCTCTCTCCAACATAAATGGTTTATTTTTCACTATTTTACAGACAAAAATTGTGAAATTCTCACTATCAAGTGTCTATTACAGTAACTATGAGTTTTGCCTCAGTAAACTCCTAATTTGCTGCCTATTAATAGTTAGTAGTTGTTAAGTTTAGGTATGGGGTAAGGTTAAGGGATCTAAAATATAGTCATGCAGAATAAGGCATTAATATGTGCTTTATAAGTATTAATAAACGGCCAATATGCATGCTAATAAGTATCTAATTAATAGTGAGAATTGGACCCAAAACTAAATTGTTACCGAATTATGTTTCCTGAGCTATGAAAAACCAACATCTGAGCAACAGATTTTTCCTCTTTAGTGAGGTATTTCAGCGCTAAATGTGTACTTGAGTGCATATGTGCATGTATATAAGATTAATCTGACAAAAGCCAAATTATTCCTGTTATGAGATGCATGATAGGGGCCAGTTCAGGACCAAGCAAACAGATAACAAAACTGAAACAGACAGCCCGCTCTTCTGTAATGACCTCTCTTTGCCTTTCTTTCATCACTTTTTGACTGGAGTCAGGAATTTGAGGATGAAAGAAGTCAATTGAACAGATAATGTTGAGAAAAATGCAAAGGATGAAGGGCTAGCAGGATCATAGAGGGGGAGATGAAATGAATTAAAGGGGAGTAATGTGGCTGCTGTTTTTCAGCTTTCTTCAGAGAGGCGTGCATGTGGGATAAGCCACAAACTCTTCCGCACTGACTCAGTGACAGGGTTTCTTTAATTATGGGAGCTTTTAATTCCAAGGGGATGATTTTTGTTCATTTTTTGAAAGTCTGGGTCTGTCAATATCCATCAATATTATTACATTTATTACATTGTTATTACATCATCAATTATCATTTAATTAACTTTAACACAAATAATATCAGTCCCCCCGTTTGTGGCATTGTTTCCATCATGATCAACAATTATGACCAACTTGACACTGAACATGCATTTTTACCAAAGCAAAGTGTCTATCAAGAACAAGATAAATATAAGACATGATGTGAAATATATATATATAAACATAAATTTAAAATATAAATATCGCTTGTGAAAACAATACTTTCAATGTGTGTAATTTCTGATCAAAGTGATGGTTAAATATTAAAAATATTTTTAAATATTCTTTAAAACTGAGACGGTTCTGATTTCTAACCATTAGTGAATGTTTTTTTTATAACATATCAAATTTAATTTCTATTATATAACCCTTTTAAAATGGTTGTGAATTACAATCGAATGACATAGGAGAATTGGAATGCCGGTCAACAGGAACCACTCTGTAGCCCCTCTCAGCAGGGTTGAAATACGTACTTATACTTCTGTGTTCACAGTACTTAAACAGACCTTTTCTGTTGTAGGATGGTCGACACAGCAGCTTCTAACGAGAATAGAGCATGCACAAACTTACAGCACCTGCATTCATTTTTAAAAGCTGTAGTAATTGCAATTTACAGAATGGCTGTAAATGCAGAGAATTTGGAAACAGAGAGTAAATACACAAAGTATAAAGTACTTATGGGGAAAGTTTCAGTCAGTTTACTAGAATTCCTCAATTTGTTTCTGAATTTGTATTTCAGGGGAAACACTTATGATTACAAAGTCATCCAGTGATGGAGACTATGAGAGTGGATTAAAAGAAGTCAAATCCCTTATGCTGTTATTATAACTCTGTTATTTTCTAAATGGTTCAGGTAATTTAATAGGGAGCAAGAGGATCTCGAAGACAAAAGTGATGATGCCAAAAAGAGGTGATGCCACAAAAAATTCTGAAGTATTATCATTATTATCATAAAATTAATCTAAACACACACACACATCAAAGAATTCATTCTTAAATTAAACCAAATAAATAACTAATCTGTCAGCCTCTGTTCCATGTCTCGTGTTGTGTTTTCCTCCCCCACGTGCTGTTTATTTTCATGCCCATATTTGGGTTTTCCTGTTCCTGTCCCTGTTTAGTTCATTTGTTCCCAGGTGTGTCCGATTCGTTTCTGTGTATTTAAAGTGTGTTCTGCCCCTCGTTTCCCATCCGCTGTTAAATGTAATTTTGTGTTCTCCGTAATTACCTGTGTTCCTGTGTTCCCAGTTTTGTTTTCATTAAAGACTTTGGAATTTGTTTTACTCCTCGTCTCCTCGCTCCTTCGTTCCCTTGCTCCCAGTGTGAACCGTGACATAATCAAACCATGGTTTGTAACCATGAAAAGTTTGTTTAAAAAAAAGAAGAAGAAGAAGCTGTCTGCTGACCTATACATTCCATCTGATTTGGTAAAGCAAGCACAGAATACAGAATAAGGAACTGATGCTGTGAATTAACACATGGTGTTCATTCTAAATGACCCAACTAAAGTGAGCATAGTTACACAAAGTTTTGTCTTTGGGATTGGAGTAAAAATGCTCAGAATTCAACCTGAAGACAAAAAAATACAATGATCATATAAGGATGGGCCAGAACTAGTCAAACATCTGACTGGTCTGAGTGAGTTTTAATCACTGTGCTTTTCAGAGTGTTTCTCAATACCCCCCTTATCTAACACAATATTCAAAGTCCTCCTATATTGATTCTGATATTTCCTTTGGTATTTCTGCTGTAATTCTCACAACAAAGATTCTGTGAAAATGTTTGCACTTTTGAATGCGAGGATTACCCATAATTCCATTACAATGTAAAAAGATGTCAATCATCTTAATGGTAAAAGATTGTAAAAATGCAATGGAAAAAAACATGTTAATTGGTTGACAGTATGTACCCTTACTATATTCTGTGAAAATTTTTTATAGATCTCATGGGACAGTTCATGTAATTTTACAGTGAAATACTGTTAAATGTACAGATTTTTTAAGTACACTGTAAAAAGGAAACTTATTGTAGCATTTACTGCTCTCTCTACTGTAACAATATGAATGTTTTACGGCATTGAATTTACATTTACAGTAAAAAAAAAAACTGGCAGCTGTGATTGAAGTACTTTATTGCAAAAAATACAGTAGTAATATGTATGTGTCAAGTGTTTGTTTCTGTTTAGTTCCTGTCTGTCCTTAATTGGTTCAGTTCCTGTTCTCATTTAGTTAATAAGCATTCATTAGTTTCCACCTGTGTTGCATTAATCATCTTATTAGTCCATCGTTTGGTTTTGTATAAATAGCCCTGCCTTTTCTCAGTTTCTTTGTCCTGTCTCTGTCATGTAAAGAGGTTGTTTTCTCCTGGTTTTTCCCAAGTGGATTTATTAAAAGACTCTGTTTATTTGATATCTGCCTCCTTCGTACTCTTTCAAGCTCCTTCGCCTGGCAACCCCTGACAGAAGACAGGACCCTAAAAGGATGGACTGGGCTGAGGATTTTCTCCTGGAATTCCAGCAGGAGGGAAGGTCTTTGGAGCAGTATGTGGAGGAATTTCTTAATCATCTTAGTCCAGCGTTTGGTTTTGTATAAATAGCCCTGCCTTTCCTCAGTTTCTTTGTCCTGTCTCCGTCATGTAAAGAGGTTGTTTTCTCCTGGTTTTTCCCAAGTGGATTTATTAAAAGACTGTTTATTTGATATCTGCCTCCTTCGTATTCCTTCAAGCTCCTTCACCTGGCAACCCCTGACAGTATGTTTTAGTGCAATTAACTTAAATTTACGGAGAAAAATTGTCAGCTGTGGTTGAGGTACTTTTCTGCAAAACATATGGTGGTAATTTTTAGGTTTTACAGCACCGAGGTAAAGTTTATGGCAAAAACTGGCAGTTTTAGGTTTCATGGCACCGAACTGCTTATGTTTGATGTGTTGATAGTCAAGTCGTCACCTTCATTTATATAGCGCTTTACAGATAAAGCAGCAAAAGCAGTTTTCTGTCAAAGCAGCTTTACAGTGCTAAACAGAAAAAAACGTGTGCTGATGATGCAAAAGGACAATAGAAAACAGTCAGTTTTTCAGTTTAAGTCGGTTCATTGTTGATTCAGTGATGTCATTCTGCTCAGTTCAGTTCAGATCAAATAGTGTCTGTGCAGTCAAGTCAACAGTGTTGCCAGAAATTGTGTCCCCAACTAAGCAAGCCAAAGGCAACAGTGGCAGTGGCATCGGTGACAGAATGTGTAATATGTTTAAAAAAAAAATGTTGCTACTGAGAATTAACTTAATAACAATCTCTTGACCCTTGACTTTCTGAAGTTAAACTTTCTTTCACTGTTGTAACTGTGTTTATAAAATGCATTTGTTATAACAATAAATTCAGAGAGAACATGTGATCAGGTGATGATGGCTATGTATTACCGATGACAGAATCATCATGTTATATAGCCTGATAATCTCCGATAAAGTCCTGGCATTATTTGTATGAGGACAGTTAAATATTTTTTACTTTTTGGGTTATAATAGCACTGTCATGAGCTAGTAGTGACAAACAGATTTTATGTTTAAAAAAAATGATCGTAGCAACAAAATATTCAGATAAAACTTTGAACATCACAAAACAAACTACTAAAAAGTCACAACAAAAACAACAGCAAAAATAAAAGCAGATAGTAAGAATAAAAGAAAATACTAAGGCAATTCAGCTGCATAATTTATTCATGCAGCAATGCATGCTGGGTGAGTTGTGATCCCATCATGCACTGCAACATGAAGCTTTTTTTA